CGCGCGCTCCCGTCCCGCAGCCGCGTGGGGAGAAGCTGGGCTCCTGCGGGTGTCACGCGCGTCGTGCGGATCCCCGGCGTGGGGTCCCCTGTGGGAGTGGACGTGGCTCCGGGAGGTCCCGGGTCGGCCGTTCAGCGCTCAGGACACGAGGCTCGTGCAGCTGAGGCGCGGCCAGGTCGCTGCCAGGCCCAGTCCGTCCAGGCGGACTCTGCGCCCTCGGGTGCTTCACGGAGACGGCTCTGGGGCGGACCGTAGGGAGCGGTGGGCGATCCGCGCCCAGGGCCCAGGCTGGGTGGGAAGCTGTCAGGGGCAAGGGCCCGGGGAGGGGAGCTTCAGGGATTTTTCAAGTGTAGCAAATACTCCTATTTGGTCTACAGCGTAGGGACTAGGAGCAGAGAAGAAAAGCACCTGGGCCAGGTGACAGCCTCACGCACTTGGACTTGACCTGCAGCTCTGAGGGCGGCAGGCCCCTTGACCCAGGGACACAGGCTGACCACAGAGCGCGCAGGTGGACTGCGGAGTGGGGGCCGCAGGCCTGAGTGGGTGCGCAGGCGGCCTTGGGGCCACAGCGCTCCACCTCAGTGGGCAGTGAGACCCGGGTGTGAAGAGGAACCCCCAGGAGGGACTTGGGGAGCAGGGAGGCAGGAATTGAACACAACTGCCTTGATTTTAGTAGTTAGGGAGAATGGGAAAACCATTCACAGGCGGGAAAGGAGGGAAGGAGGGTGAATCGGGATTGACCGCGGCTGGGTCAGTCTGGCGGTGAGCAGAAGGGGGTCCAGGAGGAGCGTGAGGCGGGGCCTCCTTGCGCTAACGTGACCTTTTTGTTGTTGGAACTGTTTCAGTTGGATGCTGACAAATATGAGAATGACCCGGAATTGGAAAAGATCCGAAGGGAGAGGAACTACTCCTGGATGGACATCATTACCATATGCAAAGAGAAGCTGCCAGACTACGAGGAGAAGGTAGGGAGCACCAGGCTCTTTGAAACGACTTCCATTCACCGTGTGAATTCTGTGTGTGACCGTGTGCCTGTGTGTGCACGATTGGTCACGTGACGGCGTGAGTGGGTTATGAGCAGGAGCCAGGCTCTCCCTGGCAGTCCTGGCTCTGCACGTGCAGGCTGTGTGCTATTGGGCCCACGACCTAGCCTCTGCCACGTTTCCTCATCGGTCAAAGGGGGACAACCAACAGCACCCAGGTGAGTCACTCGTGCGAACTGTTTAGAACTTTGCCTGGCACCTGGCAAGTGCCATGTGAGTGTTAATTCTTTCACTGGTATTGGTTGGTAGGTTTCATAAAATACTCCAGCTCCCCTTACGCTTATTCTGCCTCTTCTTTTCGGGGGGAATTTCCACCCACTCCAGCTCTGGTCTTTGGGGTTGGTGCTGTGCCAGTCTGCAGGCTTGGTCTGCGGTGGACTCGCAGAGTGTCCTTGTGCTCTAGATTAAAATGTTTTACGAGGAGCATTTGCACCTGGACGATGAGATCCGCTACGTCTTGGATGGCAGTGGGTACTTCGACGTGCGGGACGAGGCGGACAGGTGGATCCGGATCGCCATGGAGAAAGGGGACATGATCACCCTGCCTGCGGGGATCTATCACCGCTTCACGCTGGACGAGCAGGTGGGGAGTGTGCGTGTGACTAAGGCCGCTCTGTGCACAGGGGCCCGGAGGATACGGTGTGACTAGCGTGTTCAGACACGAGGGTTAAAACCAGCCATGGTGTTTTCTAGAACTACGTGAAGGCCATGCGGCTGTTTGTGGGAGAACCTGTGTGGACGGCGTACAACCGGCCAGCTGACCATTTTGCGGCTCGGGGGCAGTACATGGCATTCTTGGCACAGAGAGCATAGCGGGGGCTCGGGGCCGCACCCCCCTCGCCCATGATGCGCCCCAGTGTGACAGCAGCAGGAAACGGGTCGTGTCCTTGCTTTCCTGTTGCAGACCTGAGCTGGGTGAGCTTTCCTGGGTGAAGTTATTTGACCTGAGTATGCTTGAGAGGAGCCAAGAATCTGATTTTCACGTAGGAGCCTCTGGGAATGTGGGGTCACGTTCCTTTTCGCCTCTCCCAGGGCCCTGTGCCACACTCGCATTCCACTCGAACCCAGTGAGGTTCATGTCCCCACCTGTCCCTGCCTGGCTGCCCCATCAGGACCTGATTCTGCAGCTTTATGCAGATTGCGGTCAAGGCCACGCCTGCCTGTGTGCAGGTGTGAGCAGATGACAGGACCGGCCCATAAACAATTCTCCCAAACACGGGCATGTGTGGGGGGCGAGCCCTCAGGGGAATGGGTTAGCTGCTCACTCACTTTCCTGTTTAAAATAAAGTAGCTGCCTTAATTTCACGTGGAGTCACGTTGCATTCAGGTGCACATGGCCTGTTAAATCACCATTTAGGTCCTATGTGATCACATCCATATGTAATTAATTTATATCTTACGTAAATGTTGGTTCAGTGAGAGGTTTCTAGTTTAAACTCCCTGCTATGGATCCTGTTACAATGAAGCTTTTGATTTTAACAAGAGAATGGTACATTCATTTTTTATTCAATAATTCTGAGGTGCAATGATGTCAAATTTGTTATAATCGTTAGAAAACCCCAAATGATGTCATGTTTTGAAGGGCAGGTTGTTTTAAGTACTTTTAAATCTGGAATAAAAAGTCTTCCTGTTAAAGTTTATCTTTCAAGTCTCCACGTTGGTCTTGGGAGCTCGTGTCCATGTGCCCCACAGTCCGGTGTGATCTCTGGAGTGGTCACTCTCAGGGGAAGGAAGCCACCTGCCTTTATGATCAGGTCAGAGAAGCCGGTCTCCTTGCCACCCTGGGAGAGTGGCCTTCGGATGTCTGGGGACGGGGACCAGGAGAGTCGGCTCAGAAAAGCAGGTTGGCCTTTGAGGTACCTGCTCCAGGGCAGAGGCTCTTCAGTGGGTACAAAGAGCCAGGTCAGACGTGAAAACTCAGCCCCTCGCATGCGGTTTTGTGCACCCGCAGCCTCTTGTTGGGATGACTCCCCTGACCCCTCCCTCCCAATGTGCAGAACACACAGATAACAAGTTTTGTCCCCTCACCAGTTCGTCCTGGTGCTCAGCCCGGGATGAGAAGAATCAGTTGAGGGACATGGTGAGTCCGACTGGGGCTGTGGGAGGAGGGTGACATGGTGTTTCCCACATTCACAAACGTCCCAGACACTCAGGCAGAGGGAACAGTTTATATTACATTTTCCAGCTTTTCTCTGAGGATACTCAGAATTAACACATCAAGTAGCTCAGCTTCCAGGAACAAACAGAAGGGCCCTGGTGTGTCTTACAGACGTTCTCTGCATCCCCCCTTGCGGCACGTTTGCTGTGTACTCATAGATGTGCAGGGCTGCCCGGTCACTGGCTGGAGTTGAACAAGCTGCCCAACAGCATGGCCTTGGTGCTCTGGACCAGGAGACATGCTCCCAGAGCCCAGTGAGAGGCTCACTGAGCCAGCCGCAGTCCCAGGGCGGCTCCCAGGAGCCTGGAGCTTCAGTCGCAGGGCCTAGGCCAGCTTGAGGCACTGGGTGTTGAAGCTGTCCCCCTCCTTGCAGGCAACGGCCTCGAGCAGCGCCTGCTTCTTCTGGGTGCTGCGGGAGGACTCCAGCTCGTACATGGTGGTCAGGTTGAAGAGCACGCTCTCGTGCAGGTAGTGGCCGGGCACCTGCTGCACCATGGCCTCCAGCTGCCGCAGAGAGTCCTTGAGCCTGCCCAGGTAGAGCAGGCACACAGCGGCGTTGTTGTTGGCCTGGAGAAAGATGCGGCAGGGCTGGGCCATGGGATGCTGCTCTGCCTGGGGCAGGCAGGGCTGGAACCTCCCAACCCCCAGGGCTACCACCTACCCCAGGGCAGTGGGCTCATGGGGCCCACAGCTGTGAGCCTACATCTGGGAGGTGTCTTACCACTGCATTTGTTGGGTCAGTCTTTAAAATTTCCGTGAAGAATCTGTGGGCTTCCGCAAAGTTATTTTGACCAAGGTGGAGGAAGGCTCTACAACAGAAGCCATAAGGAAAGCATCACCTGGGACAGGTCAGGATGCTGGTGCACCCGAGGGTCAGCCGCTCCCAATGCAGAGAGTGATGGGCGACACCTGCTCCTCAGTGTGCTCCTGAACAGTCGGGGACGGCACCCTCGATTGCACCACAGCCTGCACTCTAGTTAGAATTAAAGTCGCCCAGGGGCACTCTCTCTCCAGGGAGCGTGCAGCCCGGCCTCCAGTCCCCCTCCTCCTTCCCCCAGGGGTATTCATTACCTTTACCCTTCTCTTTCCTAAGCTCCAGGGCCCTTCTTTTGCCTCTGTAACTTTCTAAATAAACTTTCTCTTAAAAAAGTAGGTCTAACCTTTATTGATCCAGATGTGGGCCCTGCACCTACAACTGCTGCCTGCTATAAAACTGGCCCTGCCTCAGCTTCACACTGCTCCTAAATATCCCATGGGCCTAACCTTATTATGGAGTGTTTCACCCACAGAAGCCACGCCCGGAACACAGTGGAGGAATTACAGACAGCGGGGTGCTAGAAAGAGGACACACTGACGCTAATTCACGTTAAAAATGGAGCAATGTGAGTTCTCTGAAAAATGGGAGGAAAAACCTCAAAGTTCTTGTGGCTGAAATAGCAGGACTCTAAGTCAAGAAAACAGGGCTCACTCCCTGGGCCTGTGATGTGCTGTCTTGGTTCTGAGGCCGAGACAGGAAGGACGAACTCCCTGAGGCTGCACTGCCCGGGAGCCAAGGTTAACAGGCCCACCTGTTCATCAACACCATGATCTTCCCTTGCAGCCCGTCGAGTTTCTGTGTCACTCTCTCCACATCCTCAAAGTACTTCTCAGCTGTCTTTATGTCTCCAATCTGCTCTGACAAAATTACAGTCAGTTCAGGTGACAAATCTACAGCCACACACATGCTCCCTGAAACCAGGTCATAAAGACATTTGTGTGTCAGGCAGGGAAACTTTGTAACCACTAATTATCACCTTCTGTAAAGTGCCACAGGCACAGGATGTGTAGGATGTGGACCCCTCTTCCCCAGGATTCCTTATCCCAAGAGCTAAACTTCTTGAGTCTTCCGCCCTCCTGTGTGGTCCCCCCTCACCACCTCAGCTGCCCTGAGTCACTGGATCGTCAGTGGCCCTGGCCCTGGCCCATGGCCCCTGTGTGAGGCAGCACCCACCTGAAGGAAAATGCGGCCAATGCCGCTGAGCAGCTGCGGCTCCTGCTCAGGGTGGAACTGGATGACAGAGCGGTAGGCGTCCACAGCCAGTACGTAGTCCTGTGGAGAAGCCAGAGGTCAGGAGATCACTCTGCACAAGTCCCCATAGACTTCCGTGGGGAGAGGACATAGAGACACATGAGCTGGCAAGAAAACGAGACCAGTGGGAGCCACCAGCCTACTAGGGAGCGCACCCCTCACCCGCCCGCATGGCCAGAGGATGGCTGGAGGGACCGAGTCCTGGCCTCAGCAGGGTTGACCTGTCCTCCCATCCCCGGGGCTATCAAGGGGCCGAGGGGGTCACTTGGGCCCCAGGGTCTTCCTGCTTCTACTTGCTAAGCAGCGGTGAGCAGTTCCCTGGGGCTCACGTGTTCTGTCCTGATTGACTAGGTGCACCGGTGAATCTTGTCTCCACCAGTCATTTACATTAGCCAGCTGAGTAAAAGTGCCTCTTAAACATATGCTATGCGAGAACTGAGTTCAACTCTTTAAATGTAAACAAAACCCCCAGAAAACAACACAGCTGAGAGAGCACAAGGCTCTAGTCACACTTATATGTCAGAACATCTATTACACAGTCAGGTCCCCCATAAGTGAGGCGTTTAAACAGGAGCATCCAAACAAGCTGTGCCAGCCACTGTGTGTGGTGCCTGCGCCTGCCACTGGACTCCCCTGTGCCTTTGGCGGATGCCCTCAGCTGCCCTGTGCTGACCGAGCCAGCCTGGCCACCCGCCATGGGCACTGGGCTCACCCTGAGCACTGAAAGCACTGCTCAAGTCCTAGGTAGGGGGCAATGGTGGAGGTCTGGCTTTGCCCACAGGACAAACCTGTTTCAGCTCAATCTTTACCCCTTCTCCCAGCAGCTACAGCTGTTTGGTGGCTGTGAAACTAGGTTTACAACCATCTGCAACTGAAAAGGACCTGTGGTGTGTGGCTTACGTGGCTGCACAGTCCCTGATGTGAGGAGCAGCCACAGCAGGCAGTGAGCACCAGCACCTAGAGGGTTGGTGGCATGGGCGCCTTAAGGTCACTGTGAGTCTGAGGAGAGACAGTGACATTTAAAAACGGGGAGGTGCCCAGCCAGTGTGGCGCAGCTGGTTGGAGCATTGACCCATACACCAAAAGGTTGCGGGTTTGATTCCCAGACAGGGCACCAGGATCGGGTTCCACCACTGGTCGGGGTGTATATGGGAGGCAGTCAGTCCATGTTTCTCTCTCTCAAATAATATAAAATAAAGTGGAAGGTGGAACTTCCCCGCCTGTGACACATGGGAGGTGCCTGAGAGTGTATTATGCAGACATTCGGGCCTGGAGCACATAAATAGATTTCTCATCATTAAAAAGTTAAATTAGCCCAGCCGGGCGTGGCTCAGTGGTTGAGCGTCGGCCTGGGATCCAGGCAATTGGGGTTCGATTCCCAGTCAGGGCACATGCCCGGGTTGCGGGCTCGATCAATGACTCTCTCATTGATGTTTCTCTCTCTCTCTCCCTCTCCTTCCCTCTCTCTGAAATCAATAAAGATGTATTTAAAAAAAAGTTAAATTAATATTTATTCCACTGTAATAGAAGTGTTATTAAAAATCATTAAGTGGCTGATGAACCCACTGTTAGCCCACACACAATTTAACACGACACCACATATTAAGACCACACGTGCCTGCAATGCTGTGGACGCCCAAAATAGGTGGCAGCAGAAAGCACAGGCCGGACTGGCATTAATGGCAAAAATTTTCACTCCCTTTTTCGACTCAAATGAAAGATTAATCTAAAATTTCAAATTCAGTTTCATTCATCATAAGTGTTTTTAAAACACAAGAGCCTGCTCTGTACTGACCTCCACATTCTACCAGCAATGCAGGTAGCAGACTTACGTCTGGTCCTAGTGCGTCGTTACTGCGACAGCTCAGCACAGCACTTTCGCCCCGTAATTTCCTACTAATGTGTCTTAAAAATTCAAAACCCCACGAGTGGACCAAGTAACTTCCCTCCTGAGCAGTTTCAGCCTTGATTAATGGAGTGTCAGCCATGTGGATTTACAATTGTTCTGGCTTCTCTGTGCACCTGGGACTCCCAGGTGACGCTGACCGTGGCCGCAGGCTGAAGGAGACAGCAGGTTTCAGAGCCGGCTCTGGTGAGCAGTTGGGGACGATGGCCTGTGTGAGGGGGCAGGACCCCGGCCTGGGGAGCAGCCTGGTCACTGTGGAGGCTGTGGGACACAGGCACAACCTCCCTCCTGCCCACCACATGCCGGAGGGCAGGCGCAGGGCTGAGGTGGGATAGGACCAGGGACAGGATCACCTACTAGAAGCAGCGGCCTTATGGGGAATGTCAGACATGGAGACTGAAGGGAAACCTCTCTCAGCAGACGCAGAGCCCCCCCCCCCCC